CTGGGGTTCAAGGAAACAGAAGCAGAGACACAAAAAGCAGCTGCAAAAGGTGGCCCTGTCCAGGAAACACACAGCAAGGCAGACAAGCACCGAGCCAGCTCCCATGCCAGAGGACAAAGAGAGCACATCCAGCCAACCAGGCTCAGTGTGAGCGGCCATCTGCCGAGGCCGACTGGGGTTCAAGGAGACAGAAGACAGAAGGTTCATTTGAATGGCTGCCACTGTTTATATTTTTAGATAGTAGGAAGAAGCTTGAGTCCTTGGAGAAAACCCCAGCATTCAAGATCCAGGAAGAAAGAGCCCTGCCAAAATCAGGACTTTTTGTGACTGCAGTGATCCAGTTCTAACACCCACCTTTTCTGTTAACAATTGCAAAAATAAAAAGGCTTGAGTTTCCTCAGAGAAAGAACGACTTTTCACATTTTGAATAAAAAAAGAGTCTCTTACAATAAGAAAACAAGGTCTATTTTCTTTTCTTTTAGAAACAATGAACCAAGTAAACTTATTCAGAGAACCTGGTAAACAGGACAGATAATCCACAGCTTTCAGAACGCTGCCAAAAGGGAACCAGCAGTCTTTGCTCAAGATTAATGTTTATGAATTCACTCAGATCCCATCAATGTCTGCTGCCTGCATCAATCCATCCAGGCATAGTGATGAATGAGCGGAAAAGCCAAAATAAAGATTGCAGATAGTTGGACTACCAGCACTCATTGGCTATTAAAGCAGTTGGTTACCGTGGAAAATCTAGATATAAAGTGATTTCTTAAGAAAGTCACCCTAGGTGAACTTTTTCAACTGATCATCCTTACATTTTCTACAGCTTTGGTCAAGTCATTCCACTTGTGGTAAATTCAGTTGATTGTTTAGCCTATTAGACTTGGATCCTATTTAAAAATGGCTGGTCAGATAACTTCTAACCAAGCTAATGGAGCTGAGATATACTGCAAAAGAAAATGGTCCGGAGTTGTGCAGAGGTATTTGGCATCAAATTGATTTATTAAGACCTGAGGCTAATATTGCTGCCAAAGGTGGATTGGCAAAGGCTGTGAATACTTAAAATGGGAATTCTTAGTTTATTTTTATTACCGTACATGTGTAACCTTAAAAGAACTTCTTCCATATTAAGATAATTCGGTGTTATATGTAGTTTGTAGGAAGGAAATTAATACAGTTAAAGACAAGACTTTAACAAAAAACGTAGAACACGTGCAGCACTGTCAATAGTTTGTAGATGTATTGTATGAGATTTATTAATTACATTTTCTTTTTTAGATTAATAATAGCATCTCTGAAGTGAATACAAACAATTTTTCTGCACTCTTAGAGATAGTTTATGAACTACTTCCTTAAGCAAGTCAGAATCAGAGGAGCAGACCATCTAGGAATTTTTGTAAACATGATCTTTGACCAAGTAAGTCTTTGTCTGAATCAATTTACATGTTTATATGAAATGGTAGAAATCCATCTGATTCTGGTTCAGCACCTGACTTGGCTCTGTGTCTCCAGTTTGTGTCTCCTGTGATTCCAGGGGTGCTCTATTCTGACCCTGGGGGGCTGAGCTGACTTTCAAACGTCTCTATTGGCAGATCTGAGACGTTGGCAGTTTCTCTGCTGCCAACAAAGACCATCATAACACCAGAGTCCCAGAACAAACAAGTTTATTTATGTTTGCCAGAAATTCTCATTAATAATCATCTTTAGAAATTATACCTTTGTGATTTTCTTCCCGCACAACAAAAAATAAAGAAACAAAAAAATAATCTGCAATTGCTTCATACAAGGCACGCAACATTTCAAGTACTTAAGTCCTACACCATCACATAATAAATAAAAATGTGGTCTCCTTCTAAAAAAGAAAAATATTTTCCAGGTGTTCAATAAATTAACATAAATGAACATAAATAATTAACAGATAAAATCAAAAATACCAAAAGATCTTTTCAGATTCAGAAATATTTAAGGAAAGGACTGATCATTTAAAAAAATTAACAATTAGAAAAAAAGGGAAAGTTGCAATTTAATTACAACGTGCATGTTGTTTAAAAAAGAAAAAAAAAACCTTACAGAAAAGCACAAGTAAATTAACCCATGAAGTTGGTAAAGCCAACCTTCTGATCCGGCAGGTACATTCATAATATGTCAGCCTTCCCCCCCCACCACAAGGACAAACCACGGTCTTTTTAGCAGCTTAGAAAAATAGAGCTTTGGTTCCCTCATTACAAGGATAATAATAATCAGAAATAAACACAGATTAAGATCCATTCCAATCAGCCATTAAAGGGATCCCATAAGCTCTTTGGTGTAGTAAGGCAAAGATGACTTCAAACCAGCAGCTTTATTTCATCCATCAGCTGCTGGAACATGCTAAACACGCTTTGCATGAAACAGGCACATCATGTAGAAACCAGCGAGGAGGAGCCAGCTTCTCCCAGGCATGCCGACATCAGACTTCTAGAGCTACAGGCTCACTTTATCAAATAGAAAACGTCAAGGCAGGTTGGCCCTTACTGACCAATTGGTGAATGTGTATACAGAGATGTCTGTGCTGCATCAAAATAGAATGACACAAAATAAAAAAAAGCATAAAATAAATGCCAGTGAGAGGGATGGAGCACTCAGTGGTCTGACTGGCAGGACATTACTTAAATATAAGGGCCCAAATAGATTCAGACACAACTGAGATATACACCATAACCCCCCATCCCCCCCCCCAAAAAAAAAAACAGGACTGATTTACTGATTTTCTGCCTGAGCATCGGAAGGATTCACCCCCCCTCACACTTCTTATTGTGCTGCCATCAACTTTCAGAAGGGTTTAGTAGTGGTGTAGCCAGTGTTCAGTGCTCCTTTAACCTGTGAAGAGGAGAAATATCCTTTAAATACATTTAAATTCACAAAAAAATATGGTGATCTTTTTTTGAACTGACTGGAAGTCATGAAGGACAATCGTTTAGTGTTTAAAAAGGTTTGATACTATGTTTACATTCTGTTTTCTGTACTCACTGACTGCAATTAGATTCATACTGTAAGCCTAAACGACAGTACTGAGACCCTTCCCTTCATAAGTGCTTTAATAGAGCTTTTAATTAAGATGAAACCTAAATATTCAGTTGTCTGCCTTTACACATATTTAGTAGGAGCCTATTATTTAACAGGTTTAACATGTTTTCCCATCACTTCAAAGCTGTAAGGAAAAGCTTTCTACCTGGTTTAGGAGCATTTATGGCAACCTAGGATCGAAGCACATTTGTAATGGAGAACAAAGTCTTCCTATATCTCTGCTCTAACTAAGCCAAACATGCATTCTGGCAGGTTAAGGTCAGAACTCAAAGCTCAAGTTCTGCCACATCAAACGTGCTGATCAATCTCTTGAAATGATATGAAATCTCTGCGTTTGCAGTGTGGCCTAATATTTGACTCTGAGGAAAGCTCCTGACCTCCGTGCTTGGATATCACATGACCTCCATGTTCTAACTGATTTGCTTTTTCTTTCAGGCTGCTGGTGAAGATTCTCAGTGATCCAGGTCATATTCATTCAAAAACAGTTTTAAAAAACAATCCACAGGACTTTGTTTTAAGTTTGAAGGCGTTTCGCTTCCTATCCAGGAAGCTTTTTTAATTCAAAATATCAGAATCAGCTTTGAGTTCGAAGCTTTACATAGTAGCCAAAAAATTTGTTTTGGCTTAGAAAACATGCAAATTGAACCAGAAGAATGGGTCGTCCCTTAAGAACGGGGAGTCGTTTTGGGTTCTTTGGTAGCATGCAACACCCTGTACTGGTATAAGCCTCTGAAAGGGGGCATTAGGGCAATTGTTGGCCTGGCTGCCCAGGCCCCTGATGGGGGTGGGGGGTTGAAGTGATAGCAGGAAAGAACCAACTCTATCACTGCATTGTATGGTTTTGAGAGCTGAAAAGCTTTTCTTCCAGGCTGTTTTCATAGTTCATAAAAAGGCTCATGCTTGGATATGGAATATATAATAGAGAGAAAATTTCACAGTTGGACTTCTGGCACAGGTGGCATTCAAGCCTACGACCACGCTGGAATTTCCTGCGCTCCTGAGAGTGAAGTATTCTTTCATAAATATTGCAAAGCTGTTGCTAAGGGGCTGAATGGACTGAAATGATGAGGACATAAGGAAATAGACAGCATTAATAGACACATTTAAAGGATAGATTTCAGTCTATAGATTTGTCTTTCATCAAATCAAACCAACTCATAAGGGCTTCAGTTAGTATGTGTTATTATTTTGGAGTGAGAACCATTGAACTGAGGAATGTTTGTACTAAAATCAGGTTATTTTCCTGTCCTCACTTCCTATTTTGTAAACAGTTTAGGTTTATGATTAAGGTGTGAACTGAATTTAGGGTATGGTTAGGTATGCAATGTTATAGTTAGGTTTAGGGTTATTGTCAGGGCTGGGGCATAGAAAGGGCTTAAAATGATTGAAAGTAAACACAAAACACTATTTATAGCAAGACAACAATTTGTGTCTGCTGCTAAATAGTTGCTACCTTGTAGGTGCAATATAAAATCAATTTCCAAGGAATTTTCAAGATTTTGGGGGACTTAAAGGTACTTGTGGGGACCAATGACATTCTCCTTGTTCTCCTCTTGGGTTGGGGGTTAGGTTTAGGACTAAGGTGTGAATTGCGTTTAGGTAAGATATGCACTAGAAATGGTTAGAGTCTGGATTAGGTCATAGAAAAAAATGGAAATGAATGGAAGTCAATGGAAAGTAGCTGTAAGGATATATAACTCGCTCTCTTGTGTGTGAAATTTCCATTTCACACACAAGAGAGCGAGTTATTTCTTGTTATCCTGAGGGGCCTGATGTTAAAAGAAAATTGACTCACTCCATAGCAGAGACTGGATGAGCTTTAGATGAGGACAGCTCCTTCGTCACCAGCCGTAACAAAAGCTTTAAAACAAAGTAGATAAAAACATTTCACAAACACAGCAGAAAGTTATGCAGCAGAAGAAAATTAAAAGCACAAAAAATATCTCATTATCTGACATGAGAGAAATTTTAATTTCCTATTGAGCTTATTATTGGTAGCCTTGAATTATGTATTTCTAATTTTCCAACAAAGCATGAAGAAAAAAAAAAATACTTTTTTTCCTGTAACTGTAATTTCTCACAACTACATACAATACCAATTAATGAGGTTGCCTAAAATCAAAATCTCAAGACCATTTTTTTTTTATTAATTATGAATTCTATTTTTTTTCCCCAGATTGTTGTAAACAACAAATTAGAATTGACAGAAATTATTTTTTTTATTTGCTTTAATTTTAACTGTCTCTTCTAGAAGATAATTTGAATTCAATAAGAGAAAGAAAATCCAAGCTGTGGAACATGCAGCAGGTCCTGTCACATTATGCAATGACCACAGAACACATAATGTTTTATAGCCAGTAGCATTACGCAATCAGCTAGTTAATCAGTTATATGCACACATAAAAGTAACCTCACTCTTTAAGATCATTTTCTGCAAGTCAAAAAATTAGACACACAAACCTGGCAACAAACCTGATCAGTTAAAAGATCAGTTAATAAACAACCTGTAGTTGATCACATTATAATAAACAACTAAAGACCAAAACAAGTATTCATTGGTTGTTCCACAGCCTGTTTCTTTCATACAGGAATTATGAAAGGTGTATAACAACAATCACTCAAAACTAGAAACAAAATATGACCTCACCAACAAGGCCAGGAAGTCCGCTGTCATCAGCATGTAGAAGACCTGATCCCAGCCGCCTGCAGATAACAGGCCAGCCAGCAGGGGGCCCAGAGCTGCACCTATCATCACAAACAGAAAATATTATTCCTTTGGGTTTAACATTGATTAAAACATTTACTTTTAAGACATGCGTAGAGCTTTCACTGAAGACCTAGCTGCCCTTCCTGTAAGGCAGTTGACATTTAGGTATATTGTTCTGCTTCATTCCTTCCCGGGTGACAGTGGTAGTCAAAATGCAGCAAAGCCTGTTTCTATTCTATCTCTGTGCAGCTCGAGCTCTAACTGGGTGTCTCTGGTATAAATATAACATACTAGGCAACACTGAGTTCTCATACTCTTCTTAGCATGTCTCTGCCCCACCTTGGGGCTTAATTGCTCTGTAAATACCTGTTCCAGCTTTTACAGTCTTTTCTGCAGGTCTAATGATTCTTTTTTCTGATGGTCATACGGCATTAAACTTCACTGGCAGGGTGCAGCCTTTTGTCTCTAAGGCTGCGGTTTAAAATGAACCTTAATGTTGAAGCAGATGTCCTTTTTTCCAGTAATTTTGCTTCAGTTAGTGAAACCTCAGGTGTTGTTGGTTCCTCCTTTTATTTCCTTGCAGGCATTTTATTTAGGGCCACTGTTCTATCATCTATTGTGCAATCTATGCATGCAACATATAAACATAGTTCAGTTGTTTGTCTCTCAGAATTGAGTCTAAGTTGTGTTGCTAATTAGTGGCTAATCTCTCTAACTCAGATTTGTTTTGTTTTCAATATCCAAGTGGAAAATAGGAAGACAGGCTGGTAAAAGTAGGACGGTTGCTGTGGTTACAGCTGTTACTATTGTTACCACAGTTCTCGTCTTGTTGAAGACGAGAACTGTGGGACACAGGGGAAGCAGGCCTTGGGCATGAATGCAGGGAGGATCCATTACACTCACCTTCCTGCGGATGAAGTCTAGAGGAACTGACTGTTTCTTCCTGTGAACCCCCTTTTATACAAAAATGCTGCCAATGCGCCATTAAAAGGTAGCTCTAAGTTAGAAACACGTTCAGCGGTCGTCTGGAACACGTCAAATACCTTTGATATGTGTTGGAGATAAGTTCTTGATAAGTTATGCACAAGTTACTCATAGGTTTTTGGATAAGCTAAAGGGCACGACTTCTGAGTAACTTACACTTAACATATGTCAACGATCAGATAACTTACCTGTAACGTATGGCATATGTCAAGATATTTTGAGCATGACGTACTTGCCGTATGTCGATGTGTGCCAGCGTGTTTCAGCGTGCTTATAACTTACACAAGACATTCCCATAACTTATCCAACATATGCCAGCGTTTTTGCCAGATTTTTTTGTACGTCAGGCATGAACTGGTCTAAACGGTCAAGGTTTGACAGAGGCTTGAACATTAAACATGTGCAGCTGCAGTCTCTAGCTCTCATACCGCTTCACGCTAAGATGGATGTACCGATGATATGCGCTATGGCTAAAGTGCTAAGTTTAAGCCAACTAGCATGTTGGCTTCTTCACTGTAGTAGATCTAGATGCATGACTTTTACTTTTTAAATCAGTCTCAGATCAAATGAACCACTGATGTCTTGCTTGTCTAGGTGGGAAATAAACTTCATCAAAGACAAACCAAGTGGCACTGACCTACGGATCCTGTCCCATCAATGATGGCGGTAACGGTGGACAGAGCTCTGGAGTTGCCTTTCAGGCTTTTATGGGTTCCCTGTTAGCAAAGATGCATAAAGACAGAATGATATAGTGTTCTTTATATATGACAGAAAACGGATTTAGAATGAAAGGATTTGGTTTTTAAATGTTTACCAGATCTGCTGACACTGCAGTTGTAATGAGGGCATATGGTCCATTTACCAGCGCTCCACTCACCAACAGCATTCCTGCAGAACACAGAACCAGTCAAACTTCTGTTCCTAAACTTTGCCTTTCTGTCCACAGAAAGCTTCACTATGGGTTTCCCATTAAACCTTTACTTTAACTGAGCTGAAAGCTGTATTAAGGACTCATTTAAGAATTTAAGATTTTTTTTCCCCTATCATTACAAACCCAGGATATCCAGTGGGAAAAGCAAACTTAATGAAATCATTTTTGTGTGCACTGCCCCCTTTTACCAATTTCTTTTATTCCTCTAAAGTATATATAGTTTTACTAAATTAGGACATCCTTGTTGGTGTCTGTTAAGTTTAGATTTGAAACAAGTTCAGATGTAAATCCAATAACCGGGGTTAATCTTTGACTCCATGTGTTCCTTCTCCCTCTACAACGACATAGAAAAAAGGATGGAGAAAATCCTAACCTTCTGCAGAATCCATCACTCTGGAAATAATCGGGCAATAAATAAGAATTTTTTTTCACAAACATTTATGACAAGAATGCTTAAGACGTCTTTTCTGATTTTATCTAGATTAATGCAAGGAGCAGTTAAGTTTGCATTCACGTAGAAAAAGAAAAATAGTATCAAATTTTACGTTTCCGTAAAGCCAGTCTGGAATGCAACACTTAATTAAGTTCATAATTCAGTTTCATCTATGAAACTCATCTAGCTTCTCTTTTAACCAAATCTTTGTCAATGTTTGCCAGAGTTTTATAGCTTGAGTAGAACTGGTCAAACATGAGACAATTTGAAGGTTTTCATTAAAAATTTAAAGAATTATTACCTCTGCCAAGGAGGTTATGTTTTAAGAGGAGGTTTTGTTACCGTCTATGGAGGGATTTCATGAAATCTTTATCAAAGTTGTTTCACATGCCAAGGACAAACCATTACATTTTGATCCAGATCATAAACTGGATACAGATATGTTTTAAAAGATTCTCTAAGATTATCAGATTTGGCAGAACAAGCAGTTCCCCACTAAGCCAGAGCAGCAGTGCCAATTAATAGCCTCAACATCAGACTCAAAAGGTCTGGAGGTATTTTTAGGAGGACAAAGACAGAAGAAAATGGAATGTTGTTGGTCTGTTAGAAATTATCAATTGAAAACTTATGAACAGATTTTATGGACCCTTTTATCAGTTGCCAAGGAAAGACAAATTTAAATTTAGTAAGGATCCAGATCATGCGCGAGTTTTAGCTATGGGGCAAAATGTGCAGCTTGGCGGAGGTTGTACTCTCCGAGCGCTTTCCTAGTTATTGTTGCAATGATGACGCTGGAGCAGACCTGATATTTTACCAATTGTTTCCCTGTTTTCTAAACCTATTCGACCTGCTCTGTTGCTGCATCTCAGACGGTGTTTGATGCTTCTGTGATTCATGACCTAAAAAGCAACAAACCCAGCGTCAAATTTTCCTTCCCATGGTGTTTTCTGTATTAGTCTCAAAGCATATAGAAAACAAAAGCCCCACACTAAGATATATGTAAAAAATCAATGGTATGGCTTTCAAATAACTACTGGGAACAAAGAAATCTAATAAAAGCAGATGGCTGCTCCTTACCAACAGTTGGTCCCAGACCAAACTGGCTGATCATTGAGAAGCCATAGAGCTGTGGACCAGAAAACCAACATTAGAGAGGAGGGCAGAATGATGTACTTCACTGAGAATAAACAACCTAAAGCATGTTGCTCTGCACTGCTCGATGAAACAAAGTTTATTTTCAAAATTAACAGCTGAAGGAAAATACTGCAGCAAAACACAAAATACCACAAGACATGGCAGCTTACCGTAGGAGCAGCCAGCAGCAGCATGACAGCACATGTGGTGGCTCTCTTCCCCAGTTTATCAGAGATGAGTCCTGCCAAAATCCCTCCTATACGTAAAAGTAGCACATAAACACACACCGTCATTCCACTAGGAATACTTTCACCTATTTGTTTTAATGTTCATGCAGGAAAGAGAGAAACAACAGCAGGGAATATAAAAATAAAAAGTCACTGACCAACAATTCCTCCAACATCAAACAAGGTGGACAGATCTCCAGCTCTCTTTGCATCCAGGTGAGCTGAACAGGGAACACAGCAGAATAAACAGGTTCCAGTTTGGTTACTTCATAAATGCTTTATTTGTCTTTCTTCATAAATAAAAAGGACTAATAGAGATAAATTTGATCCATCAGGCTTATATTTCACAGAATGGGAATCCACGATGCTGGGCTATTTCCTCAACTTTAAGGTAGATCAGTTTTAATCTTTAGGTTATTAAATAAAAGAGTCTTTAAAGCGAGTATAGAGTACGCCTGAGGAGGGAACCAGAACCACCGTCTATGCTCTGTAGCAGGAGAAGCGCCCTCCGTTAGTGGAGAAGCAAAAATTCAGAGCTTTAGTGGATTGAGCCACAGCAAAAGAAGGATGTAAGGAGACATCTGACTGCCTTCAATGAGCACACGCACCCTGACGGCTCACTCAGTATTTATATTGCAAACCATTTGGGAGAACAGTGTCTCCATTTAGGTGAGCTTGCAGACATGAAGCATTAGCGAAGAAAATTGAAACAGTTAATCATTTCCAGAGAAGCCTAGCAAACAAGGTTCCCAAGTCTGCTACTCACCTGCTTTCGTGATGTAGAGGGGCAGCCAGAAAAGAAAGGTATAACTGACCAGTTTGGCAAAGAGGAGGCACAGAGAAAACTCCACCACTCCCTGCAGGAGCAAACAAGTTAGATGATGACATGTTTTTAACCCTAGCACTCAGTAATGACTAATTTAGCCAATTATGTGTGACTGACAGGTATTCGCAGTGCTCCCATGAAGCTGATGGCAGACGGCTCCGACTCGCTCTTCACTACCACAACAGGCTGCGCAGGGACACAGACGGAGTCCCGGGGTAGCAGCAGCTCCGTGTCATAGCTCTGCATCAGGGTAGAGAGAGGACACATCAGGCACTGCAGGAGGAAATGAGCCGCTACTAAGCTACAGACGGGGAAAGATGATGATTAACGGCCAAAAATCCCCCAGAAGAACAACTAACAATATCTGGACCCAAAGTCATTGCAGGATTTTAAAATGTTGCAGGAACATATACTGGTCGGGTTGGTGAAGAGATATTTACCTTAAATTTTATGGATAGCTTAGGATAATCAAGTCCAAATGAATGTCTACAATTGAACTGTGATTAAAGAATGATTAAAAGATTTTTAAAAATAGTCCCAGATTATGTTTGATCTCTTCATTCTAGAAGAATAAATTAAAGCAAATCTTAAGAAAATCATTAGAAATCAGCAGCAAAGCATAACCCTGGTCTCCACTGAGATTCACAGACAAAAGAAGAACCTACTGATTAGACTTCCTGTCTCAATGATTTGATCAGTGAGGTAAATCCCAGGGTCCCACCTCTGAAATATCTCAGAGGAAACTGAAGGAAGTGGTGGAACATACTGTACAGTACCAAGCAGCAAAGCTCCACCATGATGCGGGTGGTGGGCTTATCACCTCAGCCAGTTCTGCAGTGAACAGACTGCAATACTTTGCTGCCAACAAGGGTTCCTCTGTTTATGAATGGAACAAAGCCGGCAGTTGGGACGCATTGGTCCGGTCCATTATGGCTCCACAAGGATCCCAAACATGGCGGTGAGTCTCAATCAACAGGTCTAATGGTTTAGTTTGCCCTCTGGTGGTGCCCTTAATTATCACAGAAGAAGTAAACCAAAATACCAAAATGGTCCAAAATACCTAAACTATCACAACTTACCTTTGTGATGTTTTTGGAAAAACAAATCACAAGTTACCAAAAAACTAAGCCCCCTAATAGAAAAAACAAATGGCTACTGAGATTAGAAAATGATGAAAAAAAGACAGAAGGCAAAAGAAAATCACAGTGGGTGAAAATCTAAGGGAGCTAACCCTGCCCGAGGATTTCCCAGAAACCTCGAGGCTGAATCCAAATGTCGCCTGGATCACATGAACCTTATTTATCACATCTGCACAGCTGAGTTATTCAGAGCCAAATTCCAGAATTTGTGACATTGTGACCATAAAGACTCTCATTTAGACCCAGCCTAAGAGACTCTGAACACTGAAAGAACTGACCTTCCTATTCAGAAGACTTTCCTTCAGATAGCTGTAGGCCTACAACAGAACATGGAGGAAACAGTGTTTTTGCATCATTTAAAAAATTAAACAGCCTTTACTGTATGTTTTCACTTCATCACAGCATTGCATGTCTCCTCGCAATGTGGAACAGACTCATCAGCTCAGAACCTTTTAGTTGGGTTTATTTCACCTGTCCTGCAGTTTTTAAGAGGACATTCAGGAAGAAAAAAATAAAAAGTACTAATTACATCAATTAGCTGGACTTCTGTCAATCCTTGCAGGACCTTAGTGTATCATTTTTATTAGATGCTCTCTGCAAGATAAATGTTTGGTCGGACCTCACTTCTGTAGTGTATGCTTTTCACAGACCTTCGGAACAGGCCACTGAATGTTCCTTCAGTGGTTACTCTTGATGGTCGTGAAATACAGATTGTTTCAACTTATAAGTATCTTGGTATTGTCATTGATGACCACCTATCATTTAAGCCTCATGTTCACTGTCTATTGAGAAAGTTGAGACTAAAATTGGGTTTTTACTTTCCAAATAAGCTGTGCTTTTCTTTTAATGTAAAAAAACAGTTGGTGGCATCCACTTTTTTAACTGTGCTGGACTATGGTGATATATTATATATGCATTCATCTGCTCAATGCCTGCAGATGATTGACGCAGCCTATCATGCATCATTGAGATTTATTACTAATTGTAAAGCTCGCACACATTACTGTGAGCTGTATTCT